CATAGCCCGGCAGTGGTTGCAGACACCTTTAATCCCAGCACTCGGGAGGCAGAGACAGGTGGATCTCTGTGAGTTCGAGGCCAGCCTGGTCTACAATAGCCAGTTCCAGAACAAGCTCCAAAGCTACAGAGAAACCTGTCTCTAAAAACCAAAAATTAAATAAATAAATAAATAGATAGATAAAAAGATGATACGCAACAGAGCCACATCTAACATCATACTAAATACAGCAAAGATGAAAACGTTCTCTTTAGGATCTGAATCAATACCAGGAAGCCCCCCTGTTATAACCACTGTTATCACAACAGTGCTGAAAATCTGATCGGACTATGAAAATATTAAAATAAAATAGAAAAAAAAACTTAAAACACATTACAATTGGAAGTGGTTTATATTGTTTAGCTAAGAAAAAATAAGAGAATGGGAAACAAAAACAAAATTAGAAAAGTAGGATGACAAACTGAGAAGCATGTGCACAGCCAAGAAAACCCTCAGAGTGGAAAAGACAGCTCACAGGACAGGAAAACAAGTTTCATCTGCACAGCTGACCGGAGGGCAATGCGCATAATGGGGACAAAGCTCAGCTGATGGCAGCAAAACTGTAAGCCTGGAAAACCAGCCCAGTCGTTAAAAAACGGAAAGCAGGTGTCAACAGACACGCTATAAAAAAGACGCAAATGGACACACATATATAAAAAAAATATACTCCACATCATCATGGAAGCATAAATTCAACCACAATGAGCCATCATTTCACCATAAGAATGATTATTGTAAAAACCCACAAAGCAAAACTAGAGCTTCAGGGTATGAGAAGGGGAATGCTGGTTCACATTAACCCAGCCATGGTGGAAACCAAGACGGAAACTACCCAGACACGTAAAACAGAACTGCTACTCAATCCACGGATCCCATTGCTATTAATGAACTCTGCTACCAGGGCATCCTCACTCCCCAATTCATTTCAGCACTTTCATTCAATCAAAGTAAGAAATCAATCTAGCTATCCATCGACTGATAATGAAAATGTGCCAGATAGACAAAATGGAGTATTTATTTATTTATTTTTAATTTGATAATTGTATTTATTTATTTATTTTATTGAAAAAAATTTCCGCCTCCTCCCAGCCTCCCATTTCCCTCCCCCTCCCCCCACTGTTGTCCCCCTCCCTCCACTCCTCTCCTGCTCCCTCTCCAGTCCAAAGAGCTGTCAGGGTTCCCTGCCCTGTAGGAAGTCCAAGGTCCTCCCCGCTCCATCCAGGTCTAGGAAGGTGAGCATCCAAACTGTCTAGGTTCCCACAAAGCCAGTACATGTAGTAGGATCAAAATCCAGTGCCATTGTCCTTGGCTTCTCAGCAGCCCTCATTGTCCGCCATTTTCAGAGAGTCCGGTTTTATCCCATGGTTTTTCAGTCCCAGTCCAGCTGGCCTTGGTGAGCTCCCAATAGATCAGCCCCACTGTCTCAGTGGGTGGGTGCACCCATCGTAGTCCTAAAGGACATTGAGCCTATAATTTATGATCCTAGAGAAGCTAAATAAGAAGGTAAACCTAAAGAAAAACATATAGTTATCCTCCTGGATATTGGAAGTAGACAAGATTGCTGGGCAAAAATTGGGATCTTGGGGTTGGGGTGGGATTGGGGTAAGGGGAAATGGGGAGAGAAAAGTGAGAAGGGGAGGATGGGGGAAGTTGGGGGAATGGGATGGTTGGTATAAAGAAAGGATGGATATGGGAGCAGGGAAGTATATATCTTAATTAAGGGAGCCATTTTAGGGTTGGCAAGAGGCTTGACACTAGAGGGGCTCCCAGGTGTCCAGGGAGATGTCCCCAGTTAGTTCATTGGGCAGCTGATAAGAGGGAACCTGAAATGGCCCTATCCTATAGCCACACTAATGAATATCTTGCATATCACCATAGAACCTTTATCTGTCAATGGATGGAGATAGAGACAGAGACCCACACTGGAGCACTGGACTGAGCTCCCAAGGTCCCAATGGGGAGCAGAAGGAGGGAGAACATGAGCAAGGAAGTAAAGTGGAATATTTTTAAGACATCAAAATGAATTAAATTCTGCTAATTGCCACACCGTGGATGGGACTGGAGATCATCATGTTTCTTGAAATAAGCAAGAAACAGGGAGGCAAATGTCACAGTCTTATTCATACATTCAGTTTTTAAATACAGTCTCATCGATGTGAGAGTAGAATGGTGGATACCAGAATCTGGGTAAAGTTGGGGAATGGAGATGAGGTAACCCATAGGTACTAACCTACATCTAGGTCAAAGCAAGGCATTCTGGTGTGCAGTTGAGCAATGAGGTAACTCTAGATAATAAATATGTCCTGCATGCTTAAATAACATCAGAATGATTTATCATAAAGAAATTATGTGTGTTCAAGAAAATACACTTAATCTGATTTGAACATTGTGCATTATACACACTGCCCAAATATCACGAGATGCCCCACAAATACTATGCGTAATTTCGATGTATCAGTTAATAAATAAAAATATTTTCCAAGCGTCACCTACTATATACAATTAATAGGACATTTTAAATTAGTCTCATTTGCTAATTCAAATCTAAATAATTTGATTAAATGTAAGCCCTAAAATGTATAACTCTTAGTGATAACTACATTTTGTATCCAAATCAAATTCTCTTAGAAACAGTGTTAAGTCTCTTAAAAAGAGACCTCATTTTATCTTACTCATTATGAATATTTTTACCACCATTATATGTGAAGCACTGTGAAAAATAAAGAGTGTAGAAATGTTAATAACAGGACATTGCTGGTGTTTATGAAGTACAAACTCAGTGTCACACAGTGCACAGTAAAAATAATGCCCACTCTAGCAAGTCTGACCCAGTCCAATCACAGGGCAGCTACAACCAAGTACAGGTGAGAAGGGACAAGCACTTCAGGGGCTGATGGGGACTCCTGGATTGGGGATGAAGATGCAGACACAAAGGCAACTACATGAAAGGCGAAAGTTTAGTCATGGTAGAAGAAATCTGGTGAGCCTTGGCATAAGGATTACATTTAAAAATGTTAGAGGAAGCTAACATATAAACCTGAGTACTCAAAAATGTTAGAGAACGATGAAGAACTAATGCTTGTCTGGGGTCCCATGTGTTGCTATAGTGCTTATGTGTTTAATGTTTTATATTTTCAACCATAAGTGAGCACACAGTTGATTTATAACCTATTATTATATTTTTCTGAGTTCTATAAAGTAAAAGCGAGTTTTCTTTTGTTTTATTTCTATCTCAGTAGACATACTTAAGGAGGTAACATGTTTATGAAGGTTTCATAATTCCTTCCCTAATTTCTACAAATACACCTTTAACTTGCAGTGAGCATCTTCTTTCATAAATAACACATGCAACAGAGATACTTGTGAATGTAAACAGCAAGAGATAACCACAGGATCCTTAGAGTAAACCATTCGCGGCTACTCACACATGACAAGCGTGTGGTTGATTGAAAGGGTGTGGAGAGCTAGTTTAGAATTGCCTAGGTGAAGGATAGTGCGCTTACGAGATTAATGACAGGGAACCACGAGAGGACTTCTGGACCAAAGCACAGAGGAAATACAGATTGAAATGATTCTTTGGGGTCTTGGACAAATAGCGATTAATTACGGTGCCCCGGTGGACTTCCCCACATACGTGTATGCGGGCAGCACTAATTGGCCTCGGTGGGTCATGATAATAAATGACGTGAGGTTAGAAGGAGGATATGAAGGGATTCAGGAGGAGCTGAGGGGATGGGTGAATGTGCTCAAAATACACTGCATACATGTGCATACATGCATGAAATTGTCAAATACTAAATAAAAAAGTTAAAGCACATGTTAAATATTGGTTTAATTCAGCAACTAAAAATTCACTTCAATACTGATCACTCAATAAAAATAGCCCTGAGAACTTCCACAAGAAAGCATGAATGGGTTACCATTCTTTAAGCATGTTAAGAATTATTGTAAAAATGTAAGACTTGGAATTAGAGATTAGTTAGGGCAGTACAATACAGAAGATGGACAAAGTTGTATCAGGAGCCCAAGCTTTCCGAGTTTACCTATGAAGTTTGCTCTCTTATCCGAGAAATGTTGCAAACGACATTTCTCAAAGAATTCGTGACTCTTTACTTGAAAGAATATATGAGATAGATTGTAGAGAAGGATAAAGTGAATTTTTTGTTTTGTTTTGTGTTTTGTTTTGTTTTGAGACAGGGCTTCTCTGTGTAGCTTTGGTGCCTGTCCTGGAACTAGCTTTTGTGGAATAAAGTGAATTTTAAAAATTCATTGTATAGAATCTTAACCATGATGCTGACATAGTGAATAAGTGTGCATATTCTACTTTAAGCATACCATTAAAAATGATAAGCTGTCTTACTGTGCCTATCAAGTTATATATATATATATATGAACATCATCATTTGCAATAAGAATCTATATAAAGTTAGTTACTTTGGGCCAGGGAGAGACAGAGACAATATGGCAAAGCTAGAAATAATCAATGGCGTTACAGAGCTCTTGTTTAGACAGTTAATAGTTCTTCTACTTTTAAGTAAATACATTCTGCGGACTCATATGTATTGTGAAATTAAAACTTATAAACAATTTTATAACATCTAATTGTATGGGAAATTAGGGACATTTATAATATTTTCTGTAAGGTTGCAAAAATGCAGCAGAGTAGCTTCCTCGCAAATCTACTATGGCAGAATAAACCCATTTTACCCTTGAAGATATTCAAATTCACAGATGTTAATGATTTTTTCAAGAGCCCCGAGAGTGCCAAGGAAAGAAGACAGAAAAATATGCAGTTTTTACTTAATTGTATACAGAAACTATGTATTTCTCGTGATAAAATGTATGTCGATTCTGTCTACTAAACCCATGTTGTTGGGGTTGCCACTTTAAAGTCCTCGAACAGTTACATAAACATATGATTATAAAAGAGAAAGGAGACATTTGGTAAAATATTTTATTATTATTAAGAATAATAATATAATATGGTTATAAAAATAACAACTTTATTAACTACAGAGAATTTATAATACAAGCCATCACCACAGGGTTCCCTTTTTTGGGGTAAGCATCCAGCTATCCCTCTCAATCTGCAGCTATCCTTGTCCTGTTTACATAGGCAGACTCGCTGCGATTTCCACAGGATTCGGTTTACAGCTTCTGAAGACAGAAGGCTTCTGTGCAAACAGACATGAACCTACGCGAAAACGGCACTGTCAAGAGGTAAGGGTCTGGGATAGTTCTATGTTTTTGTTTGTTTGGTTGGTTGATTCTTGTTAATAAGTTCTTGGTACAAACTTCAGTTGAATTTTGAAAGACATTTTCTTCCTTGGACTTAATTATGAAGAGTGATTTATTGCAAATTACTCTTTGTAAAAGGGCAAGTGTATTGTCTTTACCCAAATCCCTTTTATTTTATGAGTTTTCTATAAATGTAAATGAGTGGTTGTATACACACAGTGAGTAGAAGTAGTTATTTTAAATCAATTTAAGGTTTCCCTTTACTTAGCATGATGTAGTAATGACATTTTCTGTTTCGTATTACAGAGCTAGCATTTGTTTTGTAAGAGAAAAGAAAATGCCTGACAGCAACTACTCGTTCTTGACAGTGCTCTTTTTCAGGGATGCTGTAGCTGGAGCATCAGCTCCGCACAGTACCACTGGTACCAGCAGGAAGCATCCACAGCATTTCTGACACATGCCATTATTGTCATCTGTCTTGCCATCCAGTGTTTCCCATTCCTGTAGCTTGAAACACTTAGACGGCAAGCCAGAGTCTGTTAATAGAGACCGATTCACTAGACACAATTACACTGAGGACCTGCCCACAGCAAATTGGTAAAAGTTACCTTACATTTTACAATAACATTAAAGAAATATACAAAAGAATTATCACCTCTCTGCACAGCAGAGGCATACGACTAAGATTTTAGTTTTACACTCCTATTCCTGCAGACAGAAGGAAATGTCTACAATTATGACAGTGTGTAACTCTTACCCAGTCAAAACAAAACCAAACTGGAAGCTCATAATTCAAAAGGGCCACTTGTCCATGAGATAAAATAATATAGACTTCTAAATAAGCTGAATTTTTCCCTCCTCTTCCTTTGAAATTTATTCATAGAAAACCATCCTATATATAGTGTTGCCTAGAAAATAACTCTACCATTTTCTAGCAAGTAAGACCCTATTTATCTTTTTCATTGTGAGCTCTACCGACTTTGACCATTGCAAAGAAAACCTCATGGGAAGAGTTGCTTAACAAACCACATTTGGTGACTTATTGACATATTTGTTTGTTTTTCACTTAAGTTAGAAACACTGATTCCAAAGTATCTAAAAACTTGACTGCATATTGTTTCTAGGTCATTTCTGTTCCTCTTTTCATGGCTAATTACAAAAAATACACTGTAAGAAGTATTGTAAAATGTTAGTATGTTAAAGTATTATAATTAGCATAACAGCTTTATCAATATAATTTATATGTAACATTGAAATCTATTCAATTCAGTAAGAAGCTATGAGAAGGACTTTAATATTTTAATAATATATCTTTGAAATTGATGCTTGTTCAAATGACATGTTGCAAAAGGAATGAAAATGTAACAGATGTAAAATGATAAGGACAGCAATTCACTGGGTCTCTCTGCATCCACTGTTGATCAACACAGCACCTATGCTACCACAAACATATATGCATTTGTATGTGTGTGTGTATATACCACGCATGCACACACATATATGTCAGAGCTTGTACAAGAACTTCTGGATTGACTCCCCAAAAATTCTGAGAATGCATTAGGGCATCTTTTGAAACTTCAGATTTCAGATGCTCTAAAAAAAATTCAATCTCAAGAATGGGAACACTGGATTCAAAACAATCAAATTATAACTTTTAATAATCTTGATGTACACATGAAGACTGAGAACTTAGACGCTGTTTTATTACTTTTTTGTATCCTGCTTCTGTATATACAACTCTTAGCTAGTCATGGCAAGTAGAATAATAAATACAATTTGAATGTTATCATATAGATTATAAAATCTAAATGAATATTCCATGTCATTAAGAGTTTTGTTAAAAAGAAATGAGAAAATATGATATTTTTCCAACATATTTGATTTTTCAGAAACAATTATACTTTTGAAAGTCATTGAATTAAAGAATTTAGAAAAACTATTTTACTTCATATTTTTTCTATTACTCAAAGACTAAGAATTTTTAGATTAAGGAAAGTATTTTAATTTTTTTCTTCAAAATAAAATTTAATGAAGGGATGGTCACAAAGCTTTGCAGACATGATATTTTTATTCTAAATCATTTTTTTTTAATTTAAGGAGAGCTAGAAGCCAATCATAGCAGCAAGTTTTAATATTAACCCATATAAATACATTTTTGAAGACAGAGACACTTTAAAATTTCTTCATCGAGACATGTTTGAAAACTGAATAAATGTTTTAAGAAAATAGACCTACCAATATTCTTCATAAATAGGTAGCTCAAATTTGGAGGAAAGAAATAAGACAAATACACAAATTACTTTCTGCTTTTTAGGCATTAGAGAGCACACAAAAGAACTAGGCTAATAAATATAAATAAACATACAGGCTAGCCATTCTTTTATCCTATGGGTCCTGTCCTGACTTTGACCACTTCCCAGCGGAGATCATTATGTGATACGTACAAAGGATCCACACTTATACCTTGTACCTTTCCTGAATATCCCCACTGATTTTCCAAAAACTTTACATTGTAGAATAAATATAGATACATACATCCAAAACATTTAGATATCACACGAGATACATCATGGTTTAAATGGTAATATTGCTGCATGTGTACTCAGCCATTTGTTACGGTCATCTGTTTTCATAAAAGGATGCTTGTGTGCCAGTATTGCAGGATACATGTTGTGAAAAAAAAATGAGTGAACTCTAACATGTGCCATAGGAAGTGTAATATAATTTAATACAGAGTTACAAGTTAGAAACACCAAGTACAGATTGGCTTTTGTGGGGTTAAAATAATGTTTAACTTATGATTGATTCATCATTAAGATATGAACCTGAAAAGCAGCATGGAATGATAATCAACCTTAACCTTTAAATCTCTTATCATCTAGCAACTATTGCATTTTTGAATCCGTTCAAGTATCTTCAGGAGATATGTTACTGCACTTACAGGTACCTTAATTCACTTCAACATTTACAAAATAACACTGACAAACAGAACAACAGAAAACACCCATATATATTAATGAGTTTCTGAACACTCACAACACTCAAGTAGCTGTTTTAGGACTGGTTTAGGTTACATTTTAATCTCTACGTCTCTGAAATCTTCATGTATAGATGGATGCTTCAAACACACTGGCTTCTTCTACGGCTATTACAATTTGTAGGTCAAAATTACTTTGTGCATCCACTTTGCGTAATATGCTACTCGGACAAAAATACCAGGACGATTAGGGATGGCACATCCACGGCCAGGAACAATGACACCAAGAACCATTTTCATTTTGTGTTGCTCACAAATGAGTGGGCCGCCATAATCTCCCTAAGAAGGAAAAACAACAACAAAGCAAATTATTTTGTAAGTAAAAAAACAGTAATTCTTCAGTAGCATTCCCCTGATGACTTGCAGCTAAAAGGTATAGTCATTCAATGACGTCAATTTTTCTTACATTTTAAGTATTGTATATGTCTCCTTGTATGTGGTGGTCAGAAGACAACATGTGGGAATTGGGCCTCTCCTTCCACCTGGGATTTGAACTCAGATCCTTTGGCATGGCCACAGGTGCCATAACCCACGGAACCATCTTTTCAGCATTCTCCCCACTGAGTAATGTCAATTCTATGTTTATTTTGTTGTTGATATTCACCATGTGTTCCATATCAACATTTGGAAAATATATAGATTTGTAAAATATAGACAAAATCCACTTGTAATCACATGATTTAATGGTTAAGCGTATTTTAACTTTCTCTTCTTTCTAAAACACTCTTTGCCTGCTACAAAAAGACTTTCTTAACATTTTAAATAGGAAATCCTTAAAATTGAAACAATAATTTTATATAATTTGGAAATTACTTTTCCAAGCATAAAATATTTCTCTATTCACAGTTGATACTAGTAGCTAATATAGTTATAATTTAAATATTTTACTGTATCATCAGGTAAAGAAATATGACAAATGAATATAGATTAACTTGTGCATATACATATATTATATACATATTAATACACAAATGTTAACTATATGAATATGCATGTATTCATACTGCGCATGTTTGTATAGATAACTGTTAGAACTGTGTTGTATCACTTTTATGCGCCATGCACCCTCTTAAGAGTACAGTTACAGAGATGGAAGCATGGCTCAGTATTTAAGAGGAATGTTTCAGAGGACCCATATCTGGTTCCCACCACCTTCTATGGGTACCAAGCATGCATATGAGGTGTGTGTAAGCATTCAAGCACTCATACATACACATAAAAGAACCACAATGACTAGCTTTAAGCATCCAAATATGAATAAGAATGTGTGAGCCAGGTGGTGTTGGTGCACGCCTTTAATCCCAGCACTTGGGAGGCAGAGGCAGGCAGATTTCTATGAGATTGAGACCAGCCTGTTCTACAAGAGCTAGTTCCAAGACAGGAACCAAAAAGCTATGGAGAAACCCTGTCTCAAAAACACAACAAACAAACAAAAAAGAATGTTTGATATTATCTTCATTTTCCTCTAAAAGCGATGCAATTTTAAAAAAATTAAATAAATGCTATAAAAGTTATGTCTGTATGTTGGGTAGAAAGAAGATATTGATATAGAATTTTTGATAGGTAAATTAAGGCAGACCTGAAAACAAATGCCAAACAGTACAGATTAAAAAAAAAAAAAGACACCAAGCCCCATAAGGTAATAAAATTACAGTTTAAATAAGACAACAGCCACCCCTGACAGTCACTTTTCAAAATGACTGTCTTTGGAGACCTTCTACCACTTCTACGACGTAGAAATTTAGGGTCGTTCTCTTCAAATATTCTTGGCTAATGAAATAACCAAACAACAGATGCAAAGAGGCTAGGAAGAAAAGAGGAATGGAGAGGAAGAGAGGGCCGTTCTCTCTCTCTCTCTCTCCTCCAGTTTCCCCCCATCTACCACCTACCCCACCCCCCATTCACTCCTCAGAGAGAGTAAGGCTTACAAATGAGTGGGGAATGAAAAAAGTTTAGCACATCACTTTGAGGCAGGACCAAGTTTCCCCTATGTCTAGACTGAGCAAGGTATCCCTCCAAAGAGAATGGGCTCCAAAAAGCCAGCTCAAGCACTAGGGATAAATCCTGGTGCCACTGCCAGTGGCCCCACAGACTGTCCCAGCCAAACAACTGTCATTCACATTCAGAGGGCCTAGTTTGGGCCTATGCAGGTTCCTCCGCTGTCAGTCAGGTGTCGTGTCAGTGAACTTCCCCTGGCTCAGGCCAGCTGTTCCTGTGGGCACAGCTTCCTCTAAGACTTCTGCAGTTTGTATGATCGTCTTTTTAGACACGAATGCCTTGAACGTGCTTTGTGGATGAAGCATGGGCTGGCTCATAAGTCAATTAAAAGAAGTGCACAAAAATAACAGAAGGCTTTTTCTAACCTTCCTTTCTCTAGGAATGCCTTGGCATACAAATACTTTGATTTGACAAAAATAAACAGAAAACACACAAGAAAATATGGCATTGTCTTTTAAGGCAATTTTGGTTTAGTTTGGTTTATAAGATAGACTTTTATCAAGAACTTATAATCTTCCTGCTTTAGTTTCCTAAGTTCTAGAATTACAGAAATGTTCCACCTGTAGGTAGGTAGGTAGGTAGGTAGGTAGGTAGGTAGGTAGGTAGGTAGATTAGATGATAGATAGATAGATAGATAGATAGATAGATAGATAGATGATAGATAGATAGATAGATAGATAGATAGATAGATAGATAGATAAGCAGGCTGGGCAGGAAAACACAGAGATAGACAGACAGACAGACAGTCAGACTTTATTAAACAACTTTTTCTTACCTCACATGGTCCCGATCCAATCTTTTCAGCCCCAGCACACAGTTCAGACTCACTGAGAGTCACCTTCCCTTGGTGGTGCTGACGGCACTTCTCATTTCCCATAATATACAGATGGGCTACTCGCAATAAACCATCCGAATTGATCTCTGCAACGGCATAGAAAATACGCAGTTAATGAGCAATGAATAAAGGCAAGGAAATCAGGAAAGAAAAAGCATGGATATGCTAAGTAACTATATTCCCTCATGTCTTAAAAGTTAGCTTACGTCCAGTGTAGCCCCAGCCGTAAACACTGCAAGTGGTCTTCTCTGGGATTGTGCAGCCATAATTGGGTAAATCAATTGTACTGACAAAGTCATCTAGGACTGCAGGCCTGAAAAGACATAATCCAGCATGAGTACTCTGGGAATACCATTCTGCAGAAACATGGACATGCCGTGACATATACAATATTAAGGAGATATTTACTAGCAATAGTCTCTAATAAATGTTCGCTGTGCAAAAAAAAATTACTCTGATTCTTTTCTGAGTCAAATGATTGTCATTAAGCTTCAGTATTAAGGTAGATAGAATATTGTGTGAAATTCTCCTACTGCTATATGAAAATCATATCACACCTCTTTCTAATAGAGGTCACATACATGCGCATGCACACATAAATGCATCCACATGATACATGAGATAATGATGACTCTACGTGAGAAAGAAAAAGAAACTCCGCTGAAAAGCAATGTTTCAGTAATTCGAGTTTCTGGGAAAATAGGAGAGTCTCTCTAGAACCTCACCGAGAAAGCTTCAGCAGCACCAGATCTGAGCCTTCCGGCCCCGAGACCAGCTGGGAAATGTTGAGGACCTGCTTGCGTTTCTCATCCCCTCTCCCGTGGACATCATGAATTCCAAGCCAGGCTTCGTAATCCTTCAAGTCTTTGTTTCTAGGTAGGAAATGAAATACAAACTATAGTGTCTAAGTATAGATCGATCATTATGAATTTCCCTTGTCGTTTTAACTTATAAGGATAAACACTACATTTAATTTTTAATCCAAAGTATAATACATAGCAACACATTTGTTAAGGGAGATCCCCCAAGCACCACAAATGTGTTGAAGCAGAGAAAAGTTTGAAGCTGCACAAATTCCAAGGCTACTCAGTTTCTAACATGTTGTATTACACTTGCTATATAGAAAGACACCTGTTACAAAATCTTCATGGTCTTTACAGGAATCATAATTTGCTTATAAACTTTGTTTCCTCTCAGCTGTATATATATTTGGCTTATCGCTAAGGTTGAAGATATTCATGGAAACCCAGTGGTATGACGAGAACTGAGAAGGAAGCTCTAAGTGCAGCCTCCTTATCTTTGCTGAGGTCATTGTCCTTGAAATTATCCCCACGCTGGTCCTCAAGCCAGATTTAAAAAAAAAAAATGCAGGGATTCAAGGAAGCCTGCTGGTCATCAGAAGTATCTCTCTAGAAATACCAAGTAAAAATGAGAAGTCGGAACATGGTGTTTTACATAATTCAGAGAAATAGTTTCCCCAAGTGAGACTAAGGTCAATCATGATTAAAAAAAAAATGTTAACTGAATGACCAGTAAACACTGAATGAGCACTAAATATGAAAGTATCAGTAAAGCCAAACTTTTATAATCAAATTTTAAAACAAAGGGCTGACAACATGATTCAGTGGGTAAACACACTTGCGGAATCTGATTGCAGAGAGGCACATGGCAGAAGGAGGGGGCTGACTCTCACGAGCTGACTTCTGACCTCAACATGCAAGCCATGTCAAGTACACACACACACACACACACACACACACACACACACACACACTATTTTTCATTTAAAGTAGACTAAATGGCTCCCTTTTTTCTGATAAATTTCTGTAAAATAAATGCTCAACATCAAAATCACAATAGAAGATATATTTAGATGCCTCAAATAAATGTTGATTTAAAAACCTTCTTACCTGGATGGAAAACATTGCCTTGCAGTAAGAACCCAACTTTCCTTTATCAGTGATCCTCCACAGATATGTTTATTTCTATGGAAAGAGAAAAGAACAAATAACATCTTTGTGAAAAACAAAACTTCCTGCCAATTAGTGAAAACCTATAACTTCGTATATCAAAACTAAATGAACTGTCAAGAAGAATAAGAGAAATCTCCTCGGAACAATACGCAGCAGTGCTTTTGTCTGAGGGCGGTGTTTGGTGAGTGTGGCATCCATAACTGTTTTCACACTGTGACTAAATTCTAGGGCATCAAGTTTACAATAGAAAAGTTGTCACTATATGCCAGTATATACTCCCAATGCATGCGTTTATGCTTATGACCACATATAATAATGCTGCAAATAAAGGATACTTTAAATGAATAAAACTGTAGAAGTGTTTAAAATTCAGCATTTGACGATGAAAATAATCATTTGAGATTTCATTAAACAGTTCTGAACAACCACACAATGGTAACGATGTTTCATCCTATTTTTTGCTTTTGCACTGTTTCGTTTCTCCCCTCCCATTATTTAGTAGTTTCAGGTTTTGCTTTTTGTGGGGGCCCTGGATATGCTAAAAGCATATCCTCAGAAAGTTTTCTACACGGAACTACCCCTGCAGCATCTCCATTCAGGTTTGAACTGATTAAAAAGCAACCGGATTTAGATAAATTTGCCAAGTGTAAGATCACTTACTATAGTTTTTCATTTATGAAAGCAAAATAATTGTTCAAGATAAATCATCTAGGAATTTTTAAATATTTGTACAGAAGAATAAGGACTAGTGCACTTATTTGATGATTTCGAAAATCTGTAAATCCATTTTTTTCTGGCAGAAATGTGGAAAGACTACGGCTCTTAGTCACAGTTCCAAGGAGCACAGCTGCCCGTGGCTTCAGCGCCGACACTCAGAACGCGCAGCTGAAGGGACAGTTATTTACGGCTTGCCACACAGGAGGATGACAGTAGATATTGAGCCTCAACTTCTATTCCCTTCAGTGTGTGTTTTGGAAAAATAACCAAACATCTGTGTTTACTAAGAACTTGGACTACTATACATAAGATTTGAACAATGTGAGTCAGATACTTCATTTTTTATGAGAATTCTAAACTTCTTTGTAACTTGCATATTGATTTTACATAGATCATACTAATGATTCTTAAGACCTTTGAGAAATAGACATTAAAATTCTATATCTAGCTGATGATAAAAATCAAAACCACCCAATTATTCTAATATGTTATTGATTTTTATAATAAAACCCTTTTAAATTGCTATTATTTATTTCAGTGATGTTGGAAACTAAAAATGTCATTTCTGTGATTGTGTATAATCATCTTAAAACATAAAGTATCCTAGATTTGAAAATTAATGTGTGGGCCATAGCTATCATGGTGACATTAAGGTACAAATAGGTCTTTTGTGTCATTTTCTTCCAGTTGATCAGAATCAGTGTCACATAGAATCAGTATTAATAAAAACTCTGCTAAAACTTACAAGGATTATCATGTGCATATATTATACAATCCATGGTAAGGGTGGATAAGGACACAAATCAGCTGTTGATCCCCAGATTAGTATCTTCTGTAGAGCACAGTCTTCTTGCAGTCTTAAGCTGAACCATGTTTTTGCAAGTTTTCAGACTATTAAGATTGTTATCATTAATAATTACCTGTATTTCAAACTAACCATCCATCCTACGTTTGTCCGTGTTGGGATGCCATTTACAACCCGCAGCTGTTTTGTTTTGGCACAGGATATGACAGGGTCTAAAAAATAAGACCACGTAGAGAACTTGGTCATGATATTACTCAGTACCTTTTATTTTTATTAAATTCTATGATAGCTAGGCAGATATAGTGTGGCTGCACTAAAAGAACATTTTGGAGAAAGGCCACAGTTGTTTATCAAGTCCATGATACGTACATCCCCCCCCCTTTTTTTTTTAGCAAACAACAAAATACTTGAATAACTTCTTTTGGGCTAAGAAGAGTGTGAAAAAATTAAAAACAAAACCAACAGCAGCAGGAGCAACAACAGCAAACCAAGTGCACACCTCCATGAAGCTCTTGTTCTCATGATGAAGTCACTCTCTCACGTGTCCCCATCTCTCACCTAACAGAAGCCCAGGGCTGGTAAAGAGCTTTAGGGCACGACAGACTGTAGATGCTATGGAACTGTCAAAACCTGGCCTCTTTGTTTCTGCCTTTAGTATTCTCGTGTCTCTTTGAGGGGGATGTGTATAAATGTGACCCACCGCATACTGAGTTCCTCAAATTAAAAGTATGTAAGTACATTTTTCAAAGTCATGTGCAGTTCTTTTGACTATTTCACATCTATAATCAGAACAGTCTAAATTTTAGAATAAAAGCAGATAGAGGTCAGAGAAATGATTTAGCAAGCCCAGCTCTTGCAGAGGAGATTGGTTCCCAACATCGACATCAGGTGGCTCAGCGCCAGCTTCAGGGCATGTGACACCATCAGCTCATTTCCTTGAGCTACTGCATCAAAGTGCCCATACCCCCTCACTGACACACATACATACATGTAGTTTAAAACAAAATGGAAAAACTACATTGACTTTAGATGGGATGTTCCTATAGTGCAAAATACTTTTCATATATACCAAAGATTTCTTCGTAACTTTTTTTTTTACCTTTATTCTATGAGGATAATAATGAAATTTTGGGGACTAATGAACCCTGGCTTTGAGCTGCCTTCCCCTTCTAGAACCTTCGAATTGAAGTTACTAGAAGCTGTGCCTAGCTTAGAGGATCAGAGGATGGGATTTTCACCTGTTGACCATTGACTGCAGTGTATTTAAGTCTATATGGTGTTAATAAAGAGGGGCTTTTGGCACAGTGATTGAAGGTCTGTATGTCGGTGTGTTTCTGTGTCTGTGTTCTCAACCTCTAGCCCCTTGCCCGAAGCTTGGGAACTGGGGTCTAGCACATAGAGTACAGACGGGGGCCACGGTGCATGGCCTGAAATCATTTGTGACAGACAGAAAGTCAATTATGTTTTGTGTTTTGAATACTACTCACGGTCCAAGTTGACAATTGTAGGTGTGGTATCTCCTTCACCTGTAGAAATGAATTATTATGATATATAATAATTTGTGTATACATATTCATTAATCTATATAAAATCAAACCACAACATTGAAATCTTTGTTGTAATTTCCTAAAATCACTGACATTTAATTTACTTAAAAATCAATAAGTTGCTAATAACATCAAAATGAATTATAAATATAATATAAAATTTCTGAATAATTCTGTCCTCTTTCCTGTCTAACATTGTGAGCATCTCCTCTTGTTACTACAGGATGTGAGAAATTCTTGTTTGCATCTCTCAAGGCTGCAAGTGTGTGTGGCCTTGTGACCTTTGACAGACTAGATTCCAAACAGTAGCTGGAGATGACCTCATTCTGCAAGGTATTCAGCACTATACCCAAGGCTTTTCCATATAGTACCATGCATGTTCATGATTGTTTGAGTGGGTACTTCATATAGACTGACTGTCTTTCAGTGCAATTGATCTGTTTGCATTTTTTTCTAAAAGCTACCTTTACTAATACTTGAATGAAGAGAATTGAAACTGTACGTGCTTGGTAAACCTATTCAAGAATTTAGAAAATAGAAATCAATGTCATCTCTGCAGAAATGGGGTAAATAATTATTTTTGTTGAGAGACTATGCCAAAAGTTAGATTTTCCAGATGTTTGGAAAAAGAAGAAGAAGAAGAAGAAGGAGGAGGAGGAGGAGGAGGAGGAGGAGGAGGAGGAGGAGGAGGAGGAGGAGGAGGAGGAGGAGGAGGAAAAGTATGGTAAAAAGAAAACACTAGACACCACACATAACTCTACCTGAACTCTCATGACTTAAACCTTTTCTGTGAACTCTCTACCAGGGTTTAATTGCTGCCTAAGAAAGGCTTAAAGGATGCGAGGACTTAGGAAGTACTTGAACAGCAATGAATGAGACACAAGACATTTCCTGAGTCTTAATGTCTTAACTTTTCAGAATTGATGGCATAGAGTTCAGCCAGGCACGGTTGAGACCCAGCTGGCCGTTAATCCCTGGAAATGCCCTGAGCTCAGATAATCCAGCAACAAAACAATAATGACACATAGACACCTTTGGAATGCAAATGCGATTGTTATTTATGAGAGTACTTGAGAGAATTATGCCCACTAGAGGGCTTTTATTTATGTTCACGTTCCAGGTTGAGGTATTATAGGTGGATAAAGATACAGCAAACATAAATTTAATCATTATTTTATGTGGGGTGTTCCCTGGGAGTCCGCTGAGGCCTAGGTTTTCAGTACATAATAGAAGCAAGCAGTGAGACCACTAACGCAGAAACGATGTTGGGTTTGCTACTCGAGTTAATGATTTGAAATGTTTGGGTAATTTGATATTCATCCCTTACCTTGTCATAACAAAGATTAAGGTACACACTCTATCCTAAATTCCACATTAAATATGATTAGTTTCACAAGTGGTTCTTTCATGGTTGTATCTTTATTTAGTTTGAAATATTTAAAGGAATCTTATATTTGATGTTCTAGTAATCTGTGGCCTAATAACAATTAAGAGTTATTTTGATTCCTCAAGTTCAGCATTCTCAAACTTAAAGATAAGCTGAAATGTCATGCACAACCAGACGGTGGGGACTGTAGTTTTCTGGGTATGTTTGAACATAGTAAGGTCTTTTGGTACATACTGTAAGAAAGACACTGAGAAACTATTCTCTGGATATTTCCGGCTCACTCTTGAACACTAACCACATGTCTTTTCCTTTGCCTACCTTCCTCTTCCTACCCCGCAACCCACATCTACTCAATGCAGACTGTATATTTTGTTTCCATGATTCCCTTAAATATGAAGGAACGCATTTTACAATCTTATCAATTACAGAAGTTTTACTTACAGAAGATTGGATGTGTGTGTGTGTGTGCTAGTGTGTGTGTGCCTCTCAGCAGCCCAGAAACATAGTATCGAGGACCTAACTGAAAACATGAAGAAACCTCATTTGCTGCAGTTTAATTTTGCAGCTATAATTCAAAACAGTATGTATATATCTGATGTCTCCACCCAAACAGCTATTTTCCCACCATTATTTATATATTAATGTGAATAAATATTTACAACATAATTATAGTGTTTTATAAGTTTTCTTTACTCCATACCATAAAACACTTCAGGTTGAAAGACAGAGTATAGATAATTTGTGCAACTTTCTTGTTATATAAGCATTTGTATACAATAGCAGCTTAACACACATTACAGAAGAATGAATAAATAAAATGTGTTTGTACTTACAGGTTCTATTCACCACAGCCCAGTAAAATTGCTATTTATATTATAGAATTTTTGCAAACACAGAGTATATATCATATATAGGATAATAACTTGACCTAGATAATTATAGAACCATAGTTTTTCTACTTCAAAAATCTGAGTTAAAATCAACTACTACACTCTCAACACCTAAGATTTACTTAAGCTACATTAAGAGAGAGTTTGTGTGTGTGCGTGCACAGAAATACACAAAACATCCAGCCATTTGTTTGTTATTGTTGAGTTGATAAGCTCCACACCACAATACATGGTAGATAATGTTCGGCAATTTTAAAGAACACAAATCTTCACATGTTTTGTGAGAGTGCAAAAATGATGAATATTGTCTCTGAGGTTAAATAAATAATAAGAGCTCAAATCTTCTAAAGATAAATTACATTAGCCTTTCAACAGGGAGAAAATATAAATAAATCCTGGCTATAAATACAAGTAGGAAAAATGACAGTGTAAAATATTTATTGAAATTAGTGTTCAGTACACACTTAAATAAAAGTGAGTTATTGGTGCGAGCATTTGATCCAACACCAGTAAGACCCTTGCATCTTTCATCAGTATTGTGCTGATTAGTGGTTTGCCTAGGTTAGTAGAATATCGTTTCTGATATCCTGAAAATCATGAGTGCTTCCTCCTTTAAGCATGCAAAGCAAGCCACAAGCCCTGAGTTCCTCTAGTCTAGACATTTGTCCTAGACTGAGCTAGACTTAACAGGGAAATTGCTATGATCTATTTGAAAGCCAGCGAATTTTTCTTTACCCTTCCATGACTGTATACTATATAAGCCTTTATTATTCTTAATCATAGAATGTTAGAGACACAGTAAAGTCATATGAATGTTCAGGAAAAGGAAAGATGGGGCAGTTATTAATAGGAGTGTGATAATGGGGCCTGTAAGCCTGAGATTTGATCCCCAGAACTGCAAAAAGATTAACAATATCAGTTTTTTAATTTAATAATACTATTTGTATTCTAATCTCTGGTAAAGTAGATTTGTTTGTTTTAGTGTTGAAACATGGAAGTTATCTTATTTGGGAAAACTTTTTAGGATATATGAAATCAATAATCAAGAACAATGGAGATAATTAGAAAAGATCAATTAACTTGAAAGATTATAACCAGAGGAATAAAAATGTGATAACAAAAATACAGCTTCCTTGCAAATATATGAGGAATTCACCCATTTTTATAACTAATTTCCCTGTTTCATGAAACGAGATTGCATTTCCAGGTCCCTGAAGAAAAATTCTCTCTTTAACCCAACATTATTTTTTGCTAAAACTATAGGTGTATTTGCATAACATTTTTTCAAGATGACATTGTTTCTTCAATGCAATGGTTTGTTTTTAATGTTATGTTGATGTGTATGTATATGTATACATGACTCTGCTCAGGAATTGGTTCTCTCCATGAGATCTGGTGACTGAACTTCGGCCATCAAACTTGCTATAAACACAGAGCTGTTGAAAGATTAGAAAAACACTCTCTTACCACCTGTTTTCTGACTTGGGGATTTCACTCAATAAGGTATGTGCAATATATTTCTGTTTCAGTGCGTGTGTGAGTGTGTGTGCACGTGCACACATATTTCATTTGTGAGGATCCGTTTTGGTGGTAAGACACTGTACGTGTCTGAAAGTGTTTCTTAGATTCAGGAGTAGTGGGGAAAATGTTTCCGGCCACCTAGTAAATAGCAAAAAGGGAACTAAGTGTCCTACAACTACACAAAACAGCCTCCTTGAAAGTGTTTGTAGTGCAATCGTGTATGTATTATTGTTACTTTTGATACATTTGTCTGAATTGGCTTCCAGACAGGCTTTCCCACTACACAAAGCAGTGCAGTGGGATGGTAGTGTTGTCTGCACGCTCACTAATCCTAAGTACTGTCAAGCAATTTTATCATTTATTATCTGATATTAAGAAATGATTTCTCATAAAGTTTAAGTCCTTTTTCTTGCTGGTTTTAATTCCTTTTCATTTATTTGTTAATTATATTTATTGTAAAAGGCTGGTTTTGTCATTTTCTCCTGAGTTCTTGCATTTTTAGTTATTGATGTATATCATTAAATATGAGCTCTATGGCACACAGATTTTATAAAGTATATCGAATGATACTTTAATCCTATTACTTTTACATGAATACTTTTTAAAAAGTTATCTTTCACTTAGAAAAGAAGAGCTTAATCTCCATTTGTTTTAGTATTTTGCTAAAGATTTTGGGTCCCACAGACTTTGAAGAAAGTTTACTAAGAGTTCTGCTGTTATCCAGAGAATCATGAGGTAATGTCGGTGCTAGGATGAAGCTTTTCAGTTTACTGGTTTTTTTTTTTTCTTCCAAGTAGGAATTATGTCAGCACATAAACACTATAAAAATAAGCACAATGGCTTCTTTTCTATAAGAGAAGTGATAATAGGGGTCAAGGAAGAAAGGAACAAGTAAGAAAAGGGGAGAGGAAGGAAGGAGAGGGGACAGGCTGTTGGCTGTGTGCATTGCTCCTGAGGAACTTCTTTTTTCGAATCATCTGTAGAGTCCTACATCATTGTAAGCCCTGATTGAGGAGCTGTTTCAGTGGAGATGCAGTACATTTGAAATATTTCAAGTGAGAAAGAGCATGACATGTACTTACAACGGGAAATGGGGCAATAATCCCAAGGAATAAGAGGATTCCCCGTGTAGCACCAAGGTCCATGGGCATCATCGTCAGGATTGCGGCAATAATTCTTGTTCAACTTGCTCGCATCTGGCTCCCAGAAAATATGACTATAAAAACAAACCAGACATTAGGAAGTGACTCTTCCAGCCAAGAGAAGCAAAATGTTACAAGAAGATCTGATCTTCACACACCTCTTTCATTACGTAGTCAACAGAAGCTTTGGCAGCTGCCCTCATGGCTTGGAAACACATTTTCAGTTTAAAAGTTTAGGGAATACGGAATAAAGCTCCATACTTCATACATACAAAATTGTGAGAGATTTGGGGACCTTGAGTCCCCTTGATGCAAAATAACAACTTTATGCATAAAATTAGAGAAGCACTATCTAAAAGCAAAGCAGGTAGATACTGAAGATTAAATTATAAAATACATAGAAAATACAAGTTACTGTAAAATGCTCTTCCTCTTCCACATGTGGATGCATCTTCTCTAGCAACAGAATTGTCACAATGAATGAGAAAAGTTTTCATAAATTGCCAGCTTAATTCTAAATTTTCCTTGGCCTAATACTAGTAAGTTAGAGTTTTCTGGCAAAAAGCTAAGTAACAAATTTTTCCAACTTATAGATGAACTTTTTGAAATAAAAAAGGTGCTGTTCTATAAGGCTATGGTCATTTTTATAAGTTTAAGTTTGTGTTTTCATTTGCCTCAGAAATATTAATTAAAAGGAGTCCTACACAGTGACTTCTGATCAAGTCATTAAAAATTGTAGATAAACATTTTCTGTTATTAATTACTATTATTTTTAAGTATAATTAAACACAATTTAAAATACAAATGGCAAGCTCTTGCACACAGAAACGTGGAGCACCTTTCCAGGTGCAGGTTCACCTTCTAGACTAATCAGAGTACAGTGCACTTCCCGTCTGCTTGATTGTAGTGTTATTTATATACCACCGAATGAACACTGCAAGGGAGGCTCTAAGACAATGCTATACTTATTACGTGTAGGGACACCAAGAATCCAGGAGAAAATTAATTATTGTAAACCACATGACTTGTGAATAGCAGAGGTGGTATTGGAACCAAACACTGTTCTGAGAGCCAACTATTATTGTCTACCTCATCTTTGAGTAGTTCATTCTTAAGCCAGAATGCTACAGTGAAACTCAGTAATTCACCAATTTCCTTCACAATGTCTTGAAGTGACTTTTAATTGGTCCCCCCCCCCATTAAAGCTAACGTCAGTGAAATAAGAATGGTTAGCAACCGATGTATTGGTGCACACCTGTGCTCTCATAAGTTTCAAAACTGAGTCATAAATGATTATGACTCTAAAAACAGCTTGGATTACATAATGGCACACTGACTAAAACGTATATATCCTATTCCTATTTACTTGTGAAGTCAATTAATTTAAAAAATATAAACCATGGTAGCATCCAATTTAGAAAAAATGTTACATTTAAAATACAACCTGAATTAATGTGATTCAATTTCTCTGAGTGCTTGGTTTTTTATACACACATAGAAATATCTTTCATATAATAATGTGATGATAAAATACCACAAAATGACGTAAGAAGCTATGTGACAAGCATTTAATAAACTATTGTAATTTTTTATTCTGGTGTATATAGTCTGAGGAATTTACTAACAGTCTGTTTTAAGCAACAGCTATGTGCAAGTTTTCTTTATGGTTTCACAAGTGCTAATACTGTTTCTAGTTCTATGTGGATGCTACCATCTTTAATAAAATATCCATCATAAGTATATACAGTTCTTCAAAAATATGAATATTTTCTTAAGTTACAAGACTATTTATGTAGTGACTTTAAAGTTTTATTCACTATGGCTACTATGGAAAATCTGTCTCTATAAATTCTCTTAAAGTGAATATTTAATATAAATATGCATATAAAATCACTTATACATTTATGTCACAAACCACTATTATTCTTAATTTTACTAGCACTATCACCCTTGACCTGCCAACTATACTCTCTTGTTGAGTTATGTAATTCTTTTGTCACTGTGACTCCATGAAATTTGGAGTTGAACTACATATCTACATTTTCTTTTCCCCCATAGTATCTGTTATATTTCAAATACAATATTAAGTTTTCAACAAATACATACTAGTTTGATTACATATTTAAAAATTTTCTATAGACAAAGAACAAGGGTATGGGTCATATAGACAAAATCCATCTGTTGTTTATATTGGCTCTCTCTATTAAGAAGAGAGGGAAATCACTGTGTATATAGTTGAATATACATAATTACTACTATCATCAAATTTTGTAAGTAGGAAGAAAGAAGTCTATGTACCGGTGTAAATCCTCCATATTCTTGTCCCACATTGAGCATGTAAGTCCAGACCTTGTTTTGGATAAGTTGCCCATGTAATTTTTCCCATTGCCGCGATAACAATCTAGGCATAAAATACACAGGACTCAATACTTTCAAAACATTCACACATTGTAAGCATGTTAAGCCATCAAAATCAACACAATAATAAAAACACAAGCTAACATCTGTGGAAATTAATGAGAAATATTCCAGAATAAAATATCTCTAGTCTCAGTCCAGTTTTGATTCCAAAATTGTAAATGTTCATATCAGTTTGAACACCCCAAATAATAACACCTCTCACATAAAAAAATCAAAAAGGAGGCTCCTTATTACACCAAAGAAATAAAAAGTTTTAAGTGATCTTTGTAATTCCCAGAATTTTCTTTAGAAATGTTTCATTGTGCAGAAAATTGCATACAAACATTTGTACAAAAATAACATAATAAAATTCTATTCCAGTGAGTTACTTGTGTTTAGATTTGGGTTTCTCGTGATGTTGACATCCTGAGTCACTCAGGACAGCTGTTGCACAAATGGTTTCAGTCTCAGTCACTACGAGAGCAAGTTGAAGAAGACAGGAATAATGTCCAGGCGATAGCCTGTGCTCTTCCGAGTGTGACATCCTCAGCACGTGACGTCAGTTTGGCGCATCATTGCTGATGTAGCCGGTCACTTGGTTAAGTGATGGAAAGGAAAAACTTCTCTTTGCACGAAACAGTAACAGCAGATCCTACATCTGCCAGGCTTTAAAATGAGTAACCATCCTATTTCCAAACAAAATTTCCCCAAACGCTGAGGCATATGATGATGGGTTTTCGTGAGTCAGGTTTAATGTGTTGCTCATAGAAAGGTTATTTTTCTATTCCTAGTAATTCTTCTCTCCATCTGCCTCTTCTACTTATTATTAATAGAATTAGTGGTATGCATAGAGACTTGTACATTCCATTTATATTCAAGGAATATATACATATATCTCACACATATATACACAACATATATTTCTCATATATATATATATATACATGTGAGTTATATGCGCATTACATGATATGTATGTATATGTGTGTGTATTTTTATCCCCCATTAGATTAGATTAGAATTTTCTATGAACAATCATATGTATATAATTAGTATGTACGTGTTATCTTTAATAGGTAACAAATACATATATACCAAAGAAATACATCAAAATTAATTACTTTATTATTTATTGACTGAAAATTCTTTTTGTATACCGAGTCTCTATTTCTATATCTAGGACTGTGTGAAACTGACTCAGATGAGAAGTGGTCTGGTCTTCCACATCACGCTTCTTTCTCCATGAGATGATGGAGAGAATTTCCACAAAAATTTAACTATTTGTGCTTCCCAATTGCCTGTTCTGGTAGCCACTTCTCTCCTTAGGCAAATGCTATTTTTTTAACTTTTCTTCTTCTTCCTAATTGCATAGCAGACTGTTGGCGAATTTTTTTTAATTTTTTTAAAGACAGGCTTTCTCTGTAACAGTAGCTGTTCTGGAACTAGCTTTTGTTAAGTTTTAAATCTTTCAATTTATTCATTGAGTCTATATTTTTCTGAGGTGTATTTTTGTATGCTTTTTCTATGATAATTTTCTTTCTTTTGGTTTCATTCATCTCAACTCTTTTAGTATAGAATATTATATATTATATATTCTGATGATTAAATATATAAAACTCTATCTTCATAACCTAGCAGATACTGGTGCAACAAGATATTAATGGAATTATATATATTTTTTTACTTTCTGTTATTGTCCAACCGGAAAATGTTTTCAACTTACTCATCTACAGATAAAACTTATACTTGTTATTAATTACCCAAAAGGACAAGAGTAACATCAGTTTATATGAGTATATGCATATATATAGATTGCCTTACATGTGTGTGCATATATGTGTATGTAAAGAAAGAGAAAGGAATTTGCAATATATAGTGGCATGTAATAAAGATTTGTGTTAAGATTATAGAATGTAGACTTGTAATAATGAGTAGATGATATATGATAGATTATAGATATAAAGGAATAGATGATAGAAGATAGATGATAGATAGATAGATAGATAGATAGATAGATAGATAGATAGATAGATAGATAAATAGGCATAGCTTCTGATGTAGCAATTGAATGCTGAATTGGCTGACAATATTTCCTGAATAGTGGCTGTGTGCTTTCTTCATAGCATGTGGCTGACAAAGTCTAGCAGACTCTTGTATTAGGTAAAATATATTAATACATAATAAGTTTTTAAATAATCAAGGAGAGAAAAGATGGGAAAGTATAAAGGTTGTTAGGAGAGTCTAATTCAAGCTCACTTGTACTAGTTGAATAATTTGAGCAAATTTCTTTAGTCATTAAAGTAAACTTTTGATCTTTATTAAATATATTCATTAGATAAGCACTATTATCTATTTAATCATCAAATAAAATATCCATATATTCTGATCCCTGATTCTTTAGTAGATGGCCATGTGTGTGAGAACATCTCAAAATGCACCAGAAGTTCTCCAAACAGCTGTCTGTGTCCTTCTTCTTCTACCAGGATTTCACAAACCGTCTCAGTGAATGAGACAGGAAGGCTAAAGACTCAGCTGATAGCTAATGTCCCTTAATTATTAGCTTTAACTTTATTTCCAGCTGACCTTTAAGCATGGCAAATGGTGAAATGGATGGAAAGGAGCCCCTCCCTCTCTCTGCCTACAGACTGTGGTCAGAGCTGCTCCTGAACACTGACCCTGGAGGAAATGTTGAAGAACAAAAGTACATAGGGGCAATGAGCTGAAGAAATGGAGCTGGAGGTAGGCTTGGATTTTCATGACAACGGCCATGACTTTTAAGTTTACGTGAACTTATATGATCATTAAGAATATAATTTTCAGAGCCGGGCAGTGGTGGCGCACGCCTTTAATCCCAGCACTTGGGAGGCAGAGGCAGGCGGATCTCTGTGAGTTCGAGACCAGCCTGGTCTACAAGAGCTAGTTCCAGGACAGGCTCCAAAACCACAGAGAAACCCTGTCTCGAAAAAACCAAAAAAAAAAAAAAAGGAAAAAAAGAATATAATTTATATAATTTTCAATTTATTGTACACCAACACGTGTATAGAGAACATCATTATTCACCAGTGACCAGTTATTTCCACAGAGTGAACTTCAATCCATCTACTACTGCGCCTTGAATCAGCTGTCTTAAGGTACCTATGATTCCCAGTCAAAGACATTTTCCTTACACCGTGCTATGAGGTCATCTTCGCTAAGACCCAGGTCCCAGGCACTTCCTTGTGCAGGATCTACTGAGACACTGTTTCTTTGGCCCGCCTATCTGAAACTCTGAGAATTCTCTTTCCATAAGGCATCCGATGCGATCCAGCTGAAGCTCCACTCAGATTGCCTAACTTCTCAGCCTCCTTTATCAGTCCTGAGAGCCCCTGCAAGGCAAACGCCATTTACCCTATTGTCTTTAGAATCTCATTTGCTGGCCCATCTCCTCATGAGGCCACAGCCAGAGTGACAGAATGGATTTCCTATTAAACTTTTGAACTACTTGCATTTACATTTTCCTAGAATGTTCTTTTCATGTACGGATGGGAGGCATAGATCTCTGTCCTCCTAACCGTCCTTAAATTCCCCTATCCTTTACACAGAAGAGCCACCCAAACCTTGGAAACATAAGAGATCAACACCCTCACTTTTCACTTGCAGCTCATTTTCTCTCTGGCATCTGGGCACAAATTTACATAATAACCCACTAGCATTTCATGCTTCTGCCTACTAGAAAGCAGTTCTCCAGAGCCAGACATTTAGTTTTGGGTACTGGTACTGATTTTATAATTCCTTAATAACCACATAATCCCTTAAATAACAGCTAACTAAATACATGAGTAAATAAATATTGAAGGAATTAGTGAAGAAATGGATATATAAAACACACCATTCCTGTTCAACGATCTTCCTTGCGAGCCTCGAGCAGTTCAACACGAAATGTTTCCTTCTAGGCATTTCCCCTGGTTTTAATCATGCGCTTACTACAAAACGTCAGCTATTACCTTGTCCACTTGACACATCACACTTGGGAATTTGCGAGCAGTAGCCAACTCGGATGTTTGGGTCAGTGGTAAAACACCACGGTGATTCAGCCCCATCTGGATTGCGGCAATAATTTTCTCTAAGGTCCCTGTGGAGAGGAAGCATGTTAAGGTAAGTCTCCTCACAAAGTTCTCACCACTACATTTCCCGGATCCCAGATGTATGCCTGGCTTGATTAGAACAGTGATAATAACTTGGAACTCTGTATGCACCACACACACCAGGGCTGTTAAACAAACACTGTCCTCCAAACCTCAGGGTTCTTCATGCAGCTGCCTGAGGGACTAGAGAGACAGCAACGCTCAGTTATCTCCACTGAGTAGCAAAGTTTGACTCCCACTATATATATTTAATATATGTAACAAATTTATTAATGATGGGGAAACTCATCATTCTCTTTGTAGAAGAAAACTTACTAATAGCTGCTTCTCATTTAAAATGGAATTTGAAACTATGCAAAGTTTTAATAAAATCAAATGGCTTCTTTTTTCCCCCTTGATTTATGTATTTATTTGATACATGTAGTTTGGTGCGTAGATTTCCTCTAATCAAAAAGTTTTTCTCAGGGGGCTGGAGAGATGGCTCAGCGGTTAAGAGCACTGACTGCTCTTCTAGTGGTCCTGAGTTCAATTCCCAGCAACCACATGGTGGCTCACAACCATCCTTAATGAGATCTGGTGCCCTCTTCTGGCCTGCAGGGATACATATGGGCAGAACACTGTATACATAATAAATAAATCTAAAAACAAAATAAAATAATTATTAAAAAAAACATTTAAAAAAAGTTTTTCTCAGTTTAGAGAGGTTACTTATTATCTTTATAGATATAGCTAAGCAATTAAGACTCAATTATAATGCATGTCCCTAACAGTAGAGTAAGTTGTCCATGTAGGTCATGTATATCTTTCATCACTGTTTTAATTAGAAACGTAGAGTCCCCTAGCCTAAGATATCTATTAAAGTTCTTTAGATTTCAACTTATATTACCGGTATTTTTATCTGCTTATTGTGGCGCTGTTTGCAGTTACCCTACAAGCATAAAATCACCATCCATGTTTTTATTTCTTTTGATAAGGTTTATATTGAACAAAACATGGATGCATGCATGTACAATCTTCTAGATAGGATTGCAATTATGTCAGCACAATTAAGAGTTTTTCAATCTCATTAATATCCAAATGAAATCCAAGAAACAGACAAAGTTGTGAGGCATAAGCTTGCATTTAGTCAGAAAACTAATGAGTAAATCTGTTGCACGATAATGCTCTTGTACACTGGAAAGTTTTGTCACTCATATTGGCTTAAAAAATGCTGATTGGCCAGTTGTCAAGCAGGAAATATAGATAGGGTGACCAGACTAGGGGAATTCTGGAAAGAGGAAACGCAGAGATGCAGTTGACAGCCAAATGCACAGGAAGCAAGATGAGAATGCCTTACTGAGAAAAGCTACCAAGCGACATGGCTCAAAATAGACAAGAATTATGGGTTAATATTTAAGTTGCAAGAGTTGTGGTTAGTAATAAGCCTGAGTAATAGACCAAACCATTTATAATTAATATAAGCTTCTGTGTGTTTTTTTGGGAGTGAATGGCTGAGGGACTGGGTAAAACAGAAACTTCTGTCTACATAAATCTATCTTGTCAAACTCAACCTTGACAGAAACTCATTTCTTACTATATATTTTAAATTTAATAAAATTATAATTGCATCATTTCTTCATTACCTTTCCCCACTATACTTTTTTCTTTTTATTTCTTTTCTTTCATATATTACATAAACTGCAGTTTACCCTCTTTCTTGCCTGCCAGTCCCTCCACCTGTCTCTCTTCTTCCCCAGACCTATTCCTCCTTCTTTTCTTTCAGAAAGGGCCAGACCTATTCCTCCTTCTTTTCTTTCAGAAAGGGCAGGCCTCCCATGGATATCAACAAAGCATGATATAACAAGTTGCAATAAGAGTAGGCACATCACCTCCTTTTAAAGTTGGATGAAGCAACTGAATAAGAAGAAAAGAGCAACAAAAATTGGCAAAAGAGTCAGAGAGAGCCCCAACTCCCACTGTTAGGAGTTCCACAATACCAAGAGACACAATTGTAACACATTCACAGAGGTCCTATGATGTGGGAGGTCCTTCTGTCTGTGTGTTGCTTTTCTTGGTTAATGAATAAAGAAACTGCCTTGGCCTGTTTATAGGGCAGAACATAGGTAGGCGGGTAAACTGAACAAGTTACTGGGAGGAAGAAGGGCAGAGTCAGAGAGACACCATGGGGCCACTGCCTGATTCAGACATGCTTTGCCAGTAAGCCACTGCCATGTGGTGATATACAGATTAATAGAAATGGGTTAAATTAATATAAGAGTTAGCCAGTAAGAAGCTAGAGCTAATAGACCAAGCAGTAACTTAAATAATAAGTTTCTGTGTGATTATTTTTGCTGTAAGCTAGCTGGATGGCTGGGAAGAACAAGAGGCCCCCCTCCTCCAACAGTCCTAGTCAGACCCATACAGGGTCCCTGATTGTTGGATTAGTCTCTGCGATCCCCTATGAGCCCTGGATAGTAGATTCTGTGGGCCATTTTCTTGTTGACAAAACTCAATAAAGTGTCAGAGAAGATGACCAGTGTCTAGTCACACCATGGGAAGGGATCAACCCATTCCCCAAACTCCTACAATTATCAAATTCATCACTGGAAAACATGAATAATTTTTTCCTTTAAAATATCATAAATATCATTACATTTTAAACTTTATATATATAAAGTATTTATATATGAAACATTTTACATTTAATTCACACAAGTTTACAATACTAAATATATAACTGCTCAGTTAAATTATCTTGCACTTTTGATTCAAAGCAAGATAATTAAGTGAATCTAAAATTGCAAAAGCCTTCATGGGCCTAGTTTTAGAACCAGCCCCCCAAATTGCCAGCTTAGCCTAGAATAGATCCAAGCAGATATAGAGAGCTGCCCAAATTGCCTCTATATTTTGATGTGTTTAATCGAGGAGTTATTTACAATTCCTGTAGTGAATTGATTACTATATAATTCATGTGTACTCATCATAAATAGCATAGCTCAGTTACAGTATTATATGTATGGGAGCAAATCCTGTTTAACAGAAGCAGAGACATCTAAGCAATATTCCTGTTTCTGCTAGACTGGAAAGGGTAAATGGGAAACCAATATTGTGAGCGTTCAAATATTGTGTCACATTTTAGTAACATTATAGTGGCCCAGATTCTGGAGAGGCATTTATGCCAGGTTACTTTAGTCAAATAAGTTTAGTAAAAGAGGAAAATTTAAACTCCTGTAAGATACAGAATTTAACTCTTGATGGTTCAGCTTCAAGTAAGCAGTTTACAACCCAAATTTCTATAACCATCCTCTTCTTAGATAAAAAGGTAACCTGGTGTTTTCATATGCTTAATAGCTAGTATTATTCTTAATTTATATTATATATTTACTTATTCTGACATTTTAAATTAAAATATAATTATATCACGTCTCGTCTACCCATCTTTCCAGATACTCTTCTGTGCTCTCTCTCCAATCCCTCCCCATGTCACCTCCCAACACTCAAATCAACGGCCTCTTTTTCTTCTACTATTATTGTTATATATGGGCAAATATAAATACGAACTGCTTAATCCATTTTTATTGTTTGTGTGCACCTGGTTTCAGGGCTGACCATTTTGTATTGGGTACTCAGTCAGGGGTCAGGGGGCTCATCCATGGATAAGGTTAATTACCCCCTCAGCAGTCATGGACTGTAGTTTCTCTGTCTAGGAAGGGGCCACGTGAGATTCTCCCCCGCCCCCTGTTTAATTGAAGCCTGAAAAGAATAGCCCCCATTTTTCTCTTACGTAGACCTAGGCCATCAAATTATGAGGGCTGCTAATACAAACATGAGCAGACCCCATCTGGCCCATTTCCCTGGGAACCACTGAAGTTTGCGGCATTTCCAAAATCGACTCACTTGCACTTGAAGTTCTCAGGGGTTACATCATGCTGGTGAGGGTACTGAGAATCCCAGCGCTGGCAGGGAATTCCATTCCAAATGGTATTGGTGGTTCCCCTGTAACCTTCTCCTTGGCCTTGGACACATTCAGTTGTTTCCAGAGGGACAGCTGTATCATTCACAGAACTGTGAGCTGTTGGTGCAAAAAAAAAAAAATGAGCTTAAAGAAAACCTTTCTTTCATCATGCCCGTCACCCTTGCCACTGCCCACTGCATGTGGTACTAGGGATTTTTTTTTAATCATTCTAAAGTTTAGATGAAAATTAAATGAAGTAAGAAATCGACCTAACATATTACTGTTTCCTTTCCAGTTTTTCTTACATTTCAACCCTAATTTAATTTTTTTCATGAAGAGTACCATAAAGATATCGACTTCCATATATCTCTGTAATATACATGCTGAAATCAGTTCCTTCCGAAATGAATAGTGTCATTCTGACAGTCAAGTTTCTTCAATATACAAAAACTCAACAATTTAATCATCATCAACTTTCTTTTATATGGTAAACATGGAAGTTAATACAGTATTCTTTTCAACTGAATTTTGGGGATTTACAAAACACAGTTTTCCAACTATCATGCATCATTGTGTGTGTGTGTGTGTGTGTGTGTGTGTGTGTGTGTGTGTAGACATGATGCTCTTACTGTGTAAAAAGAATCATGAAATTTATTTTACCATAAACAAGAGTCATTCTTTCCGTGTTGAATGTACTATCCACTGAGTATAACTGGGGGCATTTTTGGAGTTGAGTGTGAGGGTGTTCACAAGGATCTGGGCCCTCAGAAGACTGAGGGGAAGACGGAGGTTTGAGACCAGCCTGGACTATGCTCACACCCTTCCTCAAAACAAAGCACCAAGGAAAATGCATAAAGCTTTGATTGGTTTGTTATAATCAGAAGTAAACACCCCAGGTATCTTTGTGACAGATGATCATGCAGCAATCTCTGGATAAGGACCAAGTTTGGATGGAACCATATCAGACTGTTCAGATTGAAGTGAATTTCTCTGTGGCTTTACACTCTAGAACTAGATGTAGGGTCACCTCTACAAATACAGAATGGTCTCTACGTGCTGTCTATATGCAACAGTATAAAATTAGTAAAACAACTTCTTCTCTACATTTATTTCTCTTTTACATGTAGGCAAATGCTTCATTTCATTAAGTTCTCTGAGCTATGTCCATGTAAGTTTATCATTGTTCTATAAAGTTTTGTAAATACAAACAGTGATAATAACAGTTACACAAAACACCACTTCTCCTGGACAAAAATATAGGATTTGTGGAAGGTGGGCCTCAGTATACCTGTGGCCATGATTATTTTAATCGAGGTGGGAAACCCCACACATGAGTGGCATGGTTCTGTGGGTACTGGATGCAGAGAAGGGACTGAGGAACCCTCATCCTACTTCCTGCTTTCTGACGCAGATGTGACATGAGCCAGCACATCGAGCTTTGCCACCTTAACATCCCCCCATGCGGACTGTGACTTTAAACTGTGAGTCAGAATAAACTAGGCTGCCTTTGTCGGGGTGTAATCTCACAGCAACAGGAAAAGAAGCTGAAACGACAGGTTCCCCTAATTTCTCTTCAAACTTATCAAAATAATAACTTTGCTCTAATTCAATGACAGTAATCAATATTTCTTGTATCTCCTTTAGGAAATAGTACTGCAGTTCAGAAATGCCCTAATTTATAAAGAAATGAAGATAAAAATGTTTGGTGATTGAACTCTATATGGCTGTTTGATAGCATTGTATAAAATAACAGTGTTACTAGTGATAGATAGAAAGGTGATGCATAGATGGATGACTAGATAAAGGATAGGTGACAACTTCATAAATAATAAAAAATTATCATTCTATTAAATGACTTGGATAGAAGTTTGTACTGAGAACTTGATTTTGATATTAACTAAAATGTTTTGCAAAATAAGATGGATTTCATAGTCCCTGGTAAAACTATATTTCATCAAAGTTAGTTCTATCAAGTTAGATAATATAGAATCAAGTAATTGGAGGAGACTCAATGTGGATGTCTTGGAATGAAAATAACTCTAAGATAAGCAGACCTTGTACTAATACATTGCACATCTTATTATGAATATCTTACTATTCTATTATAGGAATAAGGACAAAAACATGTATTGAAGAATCCATACTTCATCCTCCATTGCTATGGTTTGGTTATGGCCATTTCCTCTGGGTTTTTGAAATCTGGTTGCCATTGATTGTATTGATTTTGGTAGCTGGGGACTTTTAGAGCAATCAAGTCATCAAGTGACATTCACCCTTCCTTAAAAGACTGGATTCCTGTTTACTGGTGACTAGCACTGTCCTTGCTATGTTGCTCCTGTGCACCACAGCTCAGTCTCCCTGGACATCAGTCAGTGCTACATTGACTACACGAGGATTGATACTTTCCCTGAGAAAACAGCTCAAACTTTATTTCAAAGAAATGAATATGCTCTGTCTTGACAGATACTAACAAAAGAAGGAAAAATTAAAGGGTAATGTAGTCAGACATAACTGGGAATTTGGCCATTACCTGATGATGTAATACCTTAATATGTTACAAGGTTCTGAAGACTGTTTTCTCTACTGTGTGAAGCTTCTTTTAATCAGAAAAAAAGATGCCAGAGGGATATCTGGAAGCAGTACATTCTGCCTCAGCTCCCTATTCATTTTCAATATGACCTTAAATATTAAATTTAAGACCTGTGAGAGCTGTAATCTGAAATACTACATAGAGATTTCAGTTCAAAGATGAGTTGAAATGCGCTCGGTGAGAAGATTATTAAGATAAGTAAAGAAGACTGTAACTTATTAGGAAATCAGTCTCTGGCAAAAGCAATGGGTGGTTGTGGGCAATAACATAATTATCAGAAAAACTTGAGGAGAAAATAAACTTAAAATACCAATAGAAAATAAATAAGTTCAATGAGTGAGCACATTTTTAAATTTCAGGAAAACCAACAGTAGAAAAATTGTGACTCTAATAAAACCAAAGAGAAAAAGAACCTGAAGTTGGATGGATAGGAAAGCGAGGAGTCACAGAGGAGTTTGCAGTGGGGAAGAATAGGTCCAAAATGTATTGCAAGAAAAAGACTAATTAAAAGAAAGAAAATCAATAGTCTAATGATTATTAGATTAGGCACATATCTCACTAATGTTTACCACTGTAATGTCAGAGTCAAGTTGAGAAGCCTGTGTTGCTAGAGTTGACTTTATCACAGGTGAAGTGGTTTCCAACAGGAGTTGATGGAATAACATTCCACTTTTAAATGTAATTATAAGATGCTCATCCCTTGAACTGTTAAGCTGACTGTTCATTTCAGCTTCCATTCACATTTCTAACTACTACATTGGTTTATGTCATTATTAGGATGATGATGATTATTATTCTCATCATAAGTATCGTGTGTGATGTTTTGGTTTTTTAGCACAGGAATGGCTTTCTTTTCAGCCTCCTAAATGGGATTACAGACATAAACCACCATGCCTATCACTTCAGGAGGATATTTTTACAGATTTTGATGGAAAATGATGTTCAAAAGTCAATATTCACTAAAAATAACAACAAAACACATTAGTATATTACTATAAAGGTAAAGTTATGAGGATTCAGTCACTAAAATACCTTGCTCACAAGCTTGAGCTCTTGAATTCAAATCTGCAGCATCCACATAAAAGCCGAGTCTGCCCATGGGTACTGGAACCCAGCACAGTTTGTGGGATTGCTGGGGACAGGCAGATCCCTGGGTAGACAGTCTAGCCAAATCAGTGGGTTACCAGTCAGAGACCCTGTCTCAACAACTAAAGAGAGAAAACCATGCTTTGAAACTCCGGTCACCACAACACACACATAGATGCAGATGTATTTGCATACACACGTGCACATGTGCACATACTCATACATACATATGCCACAAATACACAAACAGAGGGTTTGTATTGCATAAAATATTCTAATTTAGTTCAGAAAACAAAGATTTTAATAATTGAAATTATAAAATGCCCAGATGTAAGAAATTAATATTTGAAATAATTGAAATATTTGAAAAATCAATATTGTGTCAATAAATATTATGTTTCATTAAGCTTCCTAAAGGTGAAAAATAAGTAAGCAATGATCATCATTTTTACCTATTAGTTTAATGAGCATCTATAACCTTATAGGATCTTAAATACCTTAGTTTTTATTTTTCCTTATTTTAATTTATTGGAAATATATCATAGTTTTAGCCACAAATAAACGATACTGAATTCAGGGTTAGTACATCTCACATTCCGCTGCTAGAAGCGCCCCCATCAAGAACGACATAACTCTACAGTGCATACAGTAAATAATTTGGATGAATGAAGATATGTTAGTACTAGCACTTAGGGCAACTAAGTAATTTTCATCAATAAGACTTATTAAGAGACGCTTTTGAAGCTGTTCAATAAATATTATCTGATAAATGATATTATACATGATATATGATTTGCCCATAGACCATTAAACCATAATATAAATAAAATAACTTATTTCTGAACTACAACAAAATGGGTTCCTTCTGTGGCCCTACTGTTTCAACACTAAAACCTAAAGCAAAGAGAAACAAATGCTTCACGATAACTGATTTGGAAAGGGCTGTCAAATACTAGGAAAGGCATTCCTTTGTACTCAATCCTTCAACAAAAGACTCGGATTGAAGAAGGTTCAAAGTGTCTCTGGTGACCGTACCAAGAGTAAAGGGAAGAACAGCATCACAACCCAGTATCTGCTGGAGCTGATCAACTTGATGTAAAACAACATACTTTTAAAATACATCATCACCACACACACAAATATTTGTGCAAGTTCACGCCGGGCATACCAGGAACTCTTTGGAGAATTCCTCAAAATAAAATATTTTGCCAGGGGTGTCAGTGGTGGCCAGACTTTGGACACAGATTCGAAGATATTTAACTGTTCCTCTGTTGCCTAGCCTAAGAGGAATGCTTGTCCTTGGTGATTGACACAAAAGGGGGCTCCCACATCATCTCTGTTTGGAAATACTTTAAATGAACACAACATTCACTATTGAAACTTCAGCTGCCTTGTTACAAAACCATCAGATACAGTGGGAACTTCTTGGAACATTCGACTA